ACTTGTTAGACAAGCCCCATTAACTTTGCCTAAGTTACCACATTTCTCTGATGGAGATAAAACACATCATATTATGGGAACATTATCCCTGAACTGTCTTAATCAGCTTCACTTTTTAGTGTTTTCTTATATATGACTGATCTTATTTTTATTTTGAACAGCAACAACTACTTACAAAAAAGGAATTTAGGTTTACTGAAAAAGGAATAACCAAAAAGGTTCAGAGTTCAATTCTGGCACCCAGATTCAATATTTTAAACAAACAGCGTGACCCAATTCATGAAAGCTGTTTCCTCAGAAGAAAAATGTGTTTTCTAAGTTCTCCAAGCATCAATTTCAACAATTATGGCTGAGAAAGACATAAGAAGCCCACCAGCAGCAACTTGCTTCCTAGAGCCACAGCTGGGGAGCCCTTTGAACCTTCTAAGAATGAGGCCCTATCTCTAGACCTGTAGATACTGGCCTGGTGCAGGAATTTGGGCACTGCTAATGTTGTAAAGTCCTGTCAGAATTCTCATGTGCAGCCTAGATTTAAATCCATGGTTCTAGAAAACCTCCCAAGTGATTCAAAATCATAACCCACACAGAACCAGAGTGGCCTCCAAGTCCCTTACAAGCATGGGCATGGGCCTTGAGCTTCTCTTTAACCCAAAGGTGTAACGTAACAGACAGAATGGGTGCAAGTGGGAGACTGGAATAGCAGCATACCAAGATGACAAGCACAGAGCCCAACTAGTCCAGGGCCCAGGCTAGGATGATGAATCAGGATCAGGGCTTTGTTTCCATTGTTAGGGAGAACATCCGAAGGAGACAATGAAAAGGGCAAAGCATTTGCCTGACAGAAGCCACTTCTATCTAAAAAAACAGAAACAAGACTAACTGGCAAGTCTGTCCCAGTCATGCATCCTTCACTTTGCAGAGTGAGGTGGAAGCTTGCAGCCCTATTATGGTCTATAAATAAGCCATTGTTAAAGTTCTCAGAATACTGAACAAAGAAAAAACAAGGGAGCTGCATACTTCCATTTCTACACTAAGGAAGTAATTCACAGGCTCACCCAAGGATTATTTAACTCTCTTCACTACTGTTTTCTGAGTTTGGCTTAGCTAATTAGTACGAGAGCACACATTAACTTGTGCTACATGTTAACATAAAGATTTCTGTCCAACAGAAAAGATTACCTTAAAAGTTGAAGTTTTATCACCTGCAGAACATGAACAATTATGTGTCCAACTCAACAATCTTATACTAACATCATTTTTTTAAAATGCCTATGTTACGTTTCTTAAATACTCTTAGACACATTATTAATATTTCCTGGCTCCCTCATTTAAAAGTTAGTAACTCACAGGCAGCCACAGTGGCACATGTCTATAATCTTAGCACTGGTAGGAGGCTGAGGCAGGAGAATGGAAAGTTCAAGCCCACCCTGAGACCTTAGCAAATTAACAAGCCCTGTCTCAAAAAAATAAATAAAAGACAAAACCAGGGCTAGAGATACAGCTCAGTGCCAAAGCCCTGGGGTCAATTCCCAGCAGCATAAAACAAATTTAATAAATCCATTTCCTTCTGTATTTCTGTGAAAGGTGTTAACTTTTTGAAAATCTTACTTTGATGTTATGATACTGTGTTGTTTTTTATTTCTTTCTTTCTATTTTTTTTTTGGGGGGGGGGGTGTTTTTGAGACAGGGTTTTGCTATGCAGCCCTCTTCAAAGCTGGCCTTGAATGTACTTTGTAGCCCAGATTGGCCTCAAACTCACAGTGATCTTTCTGCCTAAGCCTCCCAACTGCTGATATTACAGGAGCACACCACCATGCCTGGAAGAATTTTCTTTGCAGATCTAGTAGTATATGTAAATCTACCGCCCACTGACACTGAACTAGATATTCCTGGATACTCTACAAAATTATCAAGTAAAATACTTAGCATGGCACATTAACATGCCCTTGCTCATAGCCGCCAGTAATGAAGGAGAATTTTCCCAGCCTAACAGTGGCCCTGGAGTCACCAATAGGGTCCACAACACTAATCTGGGGCAAGTCCAGGACATCAGGTACACAGGATATGTTCTGTTCTATAGGTGGTACCATATTGATATATACACATGTAGGGGCCCTTCTGCTCAAAGTAACCCCCAAACTACCAACACAAGTATTCGGAGTTTCTTATATCTGTATCACAGTAACTGTCAGGATCACTGAGAAAAAGGGGAGCCTAACAATCATGACTTAACAAAATCAAATGCACTGACCTGAAAGAAGCCATCTCTTCTTAGTGACTGAAGTGTGATCCTTCATACTTTACAAAAATGTATGAATGATATTCAAAAACACTGCTATAGGGAAAAAAAGCAATTCAGTAAAGTGATTATATTAGTACAAAAACAAAGAGGAAATTAGCCAAAGAAAGGACCTGAAAAATTCTCCAGCACAAGTTAGAGAAAAGGGACCTATAATATCTACATCCCATACTTTCAATCATTAAAAATTATTAAAGGTATGCAGTCAAATGTTTGATAATTTTATGCCAAAAAAGTGTATTATGAACTGTACATTTTAGTTTCTATTCTCATGCAACTACACAAAAGGGAACTCAATTGTTCTCTAGCAAAAGTATCCCATATGAGATATTTGGTTAATTTCATACATTATGAATTCTTTAGGTGTGGTTTCTCTGCAAGATTTTTCTATTTTTTTATATATTTTATGTATTTTATATATTTTTATATATAAATGAAGAGCTCATCGTATATATAAATGAAGAGCTCACTGTCAAAACCTCAAACCTTAAAACTGAGCTTACAGGGAACTTCAAGCCTATTAGAGTATGAGTTTCAAACTCATGGACACATTGTAAAGGCCACAACCATTTGCTGATCCTTCATGTCATTGTTTTGGGGTTTTTTTCCGTCTCTATAGTTTAGTTTCCCTAACATTAATAAGCAATGCTACAATTAGCAAGACAAAAGGAATAAAAGCACCTAAGCCTCACACACTTTAAGGGAAAACCCTGCATGGAAATAGACCTATCTCCCCACCTCATCTCTTTACTCCTATCCAACTTGAAGGCAATCTAACTTTATTCTGAAGTAAACTATACATAATTAACACACATGTCCCCACTTACCACACTGACATTATCAAGCTAAAAAAGCAGTTCAAAGAAAAGTTAATTAATAAGCAGCTCATGAAGTCATATGCTTTTTTATAGCAGGGCATTTTACACAGCATGAAGTTATATATATATGTATGTATGTATATGTATATACTTCGCCCTATTTAAAACACAAGACCATTGGTTATTTTGTGATGATAATAATAAGTAAAACAAAAAATATATAGGTCAAATAAAATGATTTTAAAAAAGAAAAGAAAGACTTAACTCTAATGCATTTCTAAATCTACAGAATGCTGATGACTATATGGTCAAGATGGCATCAGTTACAAATTGTGTATACAGCTTGCTAACAAACTAGAGGAAATATTCCCCTTTGGTTTCTTTCCTGACTACTTATAAAATATTATTCACACACAAATTTGCAATTCAAATTTGATGTCTTATGAATAGATTTTGCAGATCATGCTCTGAGAAGAGAGTGAGTAGGCTAAGAGTTGCACAGCAAGTATAATTTGCTATTGGCTTTTAGCCAGAAGTACTAGACCAAATGTTTAGAGACCATGAGGCATCTAAGCAAACCCAGTGCATCTGGACTTAGCAGGCCTAGCTGCTGTGGTTAAGTATATGGGGCCCCAAGGAAAGTGTCCAAGACACTATATATTTTTTTTAAATTACAAAAATCATGCATTTTTAAGAAAAAGGGACAGAAAAAAGTGATTTGAAGGCCCTTTGAGAAAATTTGTAACAGCAATGACAAGAAGTTCCAGTGATTTAAGCAACACTAATAACCATATGTCTGGACCTATGTTCAGCTCTAATTTACACATTAACTCTAAGCTTTTGTTTTCATACTTGAGAAAACATGCCAAATATTCAGTATTTATAATTGTAGTTAACTTGCAGAATGAGAAAACTAATTAACATGGAAAGAAGAAAATAATGGTCTTGGGAAAAATGAATTTGATTATCACTCAGGTAGGTAGTAAAGGAATCATCTCTGCGTGCCACAACTAAACCACTATGTTTCTATGATAAACTTACATAGCTGTCACATATTAAAAAAGACATCACTATATGAGCAAATATATTGCTAATAAAATGCCACTCTAATATTCTACTCACTCCAGCACAAGATACTACAATTTTTGTTGGAGCATGTTGTAGTAATCCATGTGACACAGTAAAAGGTCTGACATATTACAAGCTTTCCATAAACAAAGTACCACAAACAGCTATAGTCAACCTATTATCTGGAAACTTACAAGGGCTAGAGTCATGCTTAAATAGAAGTCTTTGAAACAGAAAGCAACCGAAGGAGCTGAACAAATAGGGAGTATGCAAGATGTTAAAATAACTCAAGTCAATGTATAAAACCATTTTCAAAAAAGTTAACTGTGGTTGATGTTACGAGTTGAAGGCTCAGGGGTGTAGTTTAGTAACAGAGAACATGTCTAGCTTTTGAGAGGCCTTGATTTGATCTCTAGACCACAAAACTATGGGGTAGGGAACAGAGACACAGGCACTGGCACAGGCACAGAGGAAATAAGAGACAGTTAAGGTTAAAAATGGAAGTCTGAGTTGGAAAACGTGAAGATGGGATCAAGGAGCATTCACAAAGGACAACAATCCCAAACTTCCACATTTGATGGGTGAATGCCTGCCTCTTTTATTATATTTATACTATAAAAGCAATATGTATGGGTGGCAGCAAGGCGTACTGATAGTGTGATTGCTTAGCATACACAGAGCCCAGGGTTTAATCCAAAGCATCATAGAAACAAACAAAAGCACTGTAAAAACAAAAGCACTACTTCATGATAATAAGTAAAACAAAAGATATGTAGGATAGTGGTTAATTCCAAGACCAATTTTCAGGTCCTCACCAAGAAGGTATTATGGGTCTTGGGATGTAGTTCAGTGGAAGAACATCTGCCTAGTATGCACAAGATCCTTGGTTCAACACACTGTGAGGGAAAAGAAAAAAGGAAGGTACTGTACAGTATCCCAAAACAACATTACATCATCACCTAAAAGACACTATGAGTCTTCCACATTCAAGACTACCTCATTAGTATTAGTAAGCATCTTCTGAACCATGTTAGGTTGTGCAGTTTGTACAAGAAGTTATGCAATTTTAAATTTATTTTTATTAGTACATGTTCATAATACATAATATTTACATTCTTTTGCAGAGTTGATACATGTATATAACAAATCTTAACTCTTTTTTCACCAACTCCTCTCTCCCTCCATCTCCTGATCCCATTCTCATTTAAGTACAATCTATTTCCTCTTACTATATTTTTAATTTTCTTCCTTATTTACATTTTGAGTTTCTTAAATAAGAGAAACTATGCAATATTTCACTTAACATTATGATCTGAAGGTGCATCCATATTCCTACAAATGACTTAAGTTTATCCTTCTTTATAGCAAAGTAGCACTCTGTTACGCATAAATAAAACATTTTCCTTCTTCATTCATCTGTAGACCAACAAATATGCTACTTTCAAGATTTAGCTAGTATGCACTGTGCTGCTATAAACATAGATATTATGCACGTATCACTGTAATGATGTCTTGAAACTGCCTATCCACATACAAGATTGAATCTAGATTCGTATCTCTCACCATGTACTAAACTGACATCAAAATACATAAGAGATCTAAATGTTAAAAGAGAAATGCTTCCTCGGGAAGATAAAACATAAAATTCTTAAAGCCCTAAGTGCAGGCAAGGACTTTCTGAGCAGAATCCTGACTGTACGCAACATAGTACCAAGAATCAACAAACAGGATCATACCAAAGTAAAGAGCTTCTGTGCAGCAAAACAAACAGCCAACAGGGGCTGGGGATTTAGCTCAGCAGCATAAGCGCCTGCCTTGCAAGCAGGCAGTCATGAGTTTGATCCCTGGTACCGAAAAAAAGACAAAAAAAAAAAAAAAAAGAAACAGCCAACAGCATGAAGAGACAACCTAAAAACTGGGGAAGATTTTGCCAGCTATTCATTCCTCCAACAGAAGACTAAGATGTAGACTATGTCAAGAACTCAAAAAACCCAGACTTCCACCCAAAATAAAATGGGCAAGTGAAATGAACTGGACACTTCTCAGATAAAAAAAGTACAACTGGACAATAAATACATGAAGAAATGTTCAACATCACTGGCCATTAAAGAAAGCAAATTAAAACATCACTGAGATTTCATCTTACTACAGAAAGAACAGTTAACATCAAGAAATCAAACAAAAAATCACATGCTTTTATAAAATTCATGTTTATGTACCATGTACTTTAAAACAGTTCACTGGCATCCTTAAGCACTTAGAGACTTTAGAGGACCACTTTCATAAGTGTGCTCAATACACACTCTTATTAAACTGTGACTTATTACACATCATCAGAAAGTAAGTTTAGAAAGTAGGATTGTGACCTCTAAGTGGTGTAATATTAGCATATGCATACATGCTTCTGCTTTTGAGGACACAGAGCAACAGTGGCTCTTCTGGTGAGACTATTACCTGTGATTCTGCAGCTACACAGAAGAACAGCCCATAGACAATTCTGAGGAACAAGTCTTTCTTAGGACTCCAGGCAGAGACCCTTGCTCTCAACTTTTCAGAAACTCTCACTTCACCATTAACAATAATCTCACCCACTAATCTTCACATTTTTATTTTTATTGGCTCATATGCTCAAATCTCTTTAAAAAAAAATTCAAAAAACTTGCACCACCTTCAAATTACATACCACTCTTTTCTTCTACTCATAGTCTTAAACAGATCCAGCAATCTTTAAGGTTTAGCTAAGCTCAAAGGTTTCTCTTATTGAATCCAATTAACAATCTTAAATTCCTGTTACAGTTTGTGTTTAGATGTCTCCCCAAAGCCTTATGTCACCACAGGCTTTTGCAGAGGTGGCTTGATCTAAAGTGTGTGATTCAGGGTGCAAAACTAGGATGAACAGTGCTAGGATAAGGGTGTGAATGCTATGCCACCTTACGGCAGATAGCCTGGATACAAAACTATAAGGGTCAGAAAGAGGCTGCAGTCAACTACTTACAGTTTGTTGCTTGCTTTTGCTGTCTTCTGCCTGCCATGAACTATTTCTCCTCTGCGATGCCTGTCTGCCATGTGCCACCTTGCCTCAGAGCCAGCCAACTATGGACTGAAACATCTACAACTGTGAGTTAAATAAACCTTTCTTCCTTTAACTTTGGGTGCTGGATATTTGGGTTCAGCAACAAGAAAAGTTAACTACAATAGTCCCGATTTGAACTGACTTCTGCAGCATTCTCCATGTTTTCTCCCTCTTTCACTCTCCCTTGGTCATCTTGGTGGGCTTCTCTTTTCCTGCTTACTTCCTAACCACTCCTGTTCCAAAGGGTTCTGTACTCCCACCCTCTACCTGTATTATTTCTATCTCTATTGCATCAGCTATCATCTATATACTTTTGAATTTTCAATTTCTTGCCCAAATCTCCCTTGAGATTCAGTCCAAAATATCAAGCCACCTTCCTAATACCTCCAGTTATGTTCCAGTAGTGTCTCACATTCTACACAACCAAACTGGAACACGGTCTAGACAGGCAATTCTCTCTCTTTCCTCTTGGCATCTTACCCTACTCCTCTTGTTATACTTGCTAACTTTCTTCTAAGCTCTATCAATCACACTACAAGTTCACTAAGTGAGAATCACAGGCACCTTCTGAGACCCTTGTCTTTCTACAACCCCACAACAGGCAGTCTCTGCATACGGGCAATTCTACCTTTTTAGCATTTTTTTCACTTTCTCTTTCTTCCCTTCTCAGTGCCCACTGTTACCAATGCCATACTACAGGATCACTTCTTCAATTCATTTCTTCAATTCATGATTGCCGTTAGTCTCTTGGTCTCAGTTCTCTCCTCCAAATTGAAGCCAGAAAAAGCTTCCCAAGATGCAACCCTCACGTACCTAATCCCATGTCTCTTGTCAAATTGAAAAGCTTAAGTAGTTCTTCAAAATAAGGTCGATCCCTCCCTTTAGCCTTATTGCTCACCAATTTTCTACCTCTTGCTATGCTTTGGCCATGCTGAATTATTCAGCAGTTCCCAAAAGCAAAATGTTTCATTGTGCACCTGGGAGCATGCTGCCTTCCCTGCTTGACCACCCCCTGAGCCCCAGTTCAGAGGTGCTGCACCTCCTCTAGCCTCCACAGACACCCACGCCTGCATCTGACACCCTTCCCAGGTTCTCTAACTACAATCCCCCATGAATGCTACCCAGCACCATTGCTGCATACACTTTCTGAAGTGAGCCAATTGTTTTTTCATCTTTATCCTAAGGCTGTAAGCAAAAATAAATGATTGTCATAATGGGCACCAGTAATTAGCATTCAAAGAAGAGACTGTTAGATGAGCAAATAATATTTTGGCCTGAAGGTGGCATATGGTATAACACTTAACATGTCTGTGTATCAAATTGCATTTATTCAGGACCTTAAAATACATAATGTACTTTTTAAGTACTAAAAAAATGTACTCAATACATTGCATATTTGTTATTCTTGTTATCCTCTGTGAATAAAAATAAATATTTTTATGTATTATTAGTAAAAATAATAGCCCATGACACAAATAACACAGAGATTAATATTACTACTTAGAAACTCAACCCCAAGGAAACAAAGCAAAATTACTAAGATCATTAGTAGGTGGCAAAATCCTTGATGTCCAAAACACAATTGTGATTTTATTTACTGTGTCTTAAAGATCTCACTAGTACCTAGCGGTGTAAAATTCCAGACGGAATGTTTGCAGTTGACGATGCAGTTCTTCCTAATATAGGAAGGAGCTGATGAGCTAATACAGTGTTTAAATTGTTTTTTATTACAGAATAACTTTGCTGATTGGACACAGCATACCTGTAATCATAAGAGATCACATAAAGTTTTCATAGTCAGGAAAAGATCTCCAATGTTATAAGTTTTGCTTTAACAAGAAAATTGTAATATTAAAAACTGTCATGTTGCCATGGTAATGATCTACTTGTGATCATGATGGTGGGGCTATTTCTTTCATTTCTCTCAAGGAAAGTAAAATAGATATTACCAAGAAATTTAATAAAACTATCAGCTAGACCAGAAGCAATGATATGACTTTTTATGTAGCAAGACAAGATTTAAATATACAGTAGAGGACATTCAGGTTACAACAGAAGTTCCATCAATAAAATTAAAAGATTTTGACCTTGACACCAATACAAGCTATAGTCACATGATATAGAAAACTCAATTCTCTGAACAAGAAAAATAAATTGTTAAACAACTGAGATGACAGCCATGGAACAAGAAAGTCAGAATTCATCAAAACAAGAACAAAAATCAATCTTCAAAGGGAGCACGAATTATAAACACTAAATTTTTCAAAAAAACCTCAGAGGCACTAGGTGTTACGTTTTGTTGTGTATATGTGAACATGAATGTGGGGGGAGTTGGTTTCACATTCTAGGACATCTGAGATGATCTGACCTACTTTTATCTAGACTTTATCAGAAATATTTATTCAAAATAAATTGATTCTAAAATTTTACAAAGGTAAGAAGTTACTGTTATTATTTAGCCCCTTCTGAAGTCTAGACACATTATCTGCTTAAGCAGACATAAATAATCTCCATACAATTAGCAAAGACTCAGTCTTGCCTAGGAAAATCAAATGGGCTTTTTCTCCTCTTCCACTTTTCAAGTACTTGTTTCTACAACTCTCCAAAAATGACAGCATTTCCCTTCACAACTTTAGGTGTGAGAAAATCATATCTTTTTGATTCATAATGACTGAGAATACAGAGTAGCATATGAATGCCAAATGAATGTCTTGACAGATAAGAATAAAAATTACAACTTCCTTAGCTCCAATAATAGACTTTGCAAGAAAAATTTCAGCATTTAAAATGGAAGAAACTGGCCAGCTTCTTCCTTACTCTATA